ATGCAAAACATTATGTTAAACTACATAGATGATACAAGTAGCCTTCAGTTTGCTAACTAATAGAAATAACCTGTGCTTTTAGAAATGCAGTTAGAAGTTATTCAGTTGAGATAGATATTACTTCCAGCGACCCAGAAATTCCTAAATCCTATCCTGTCAATCACCCATTCTTTTCTAGCCATTCCCAAGGGCATTATACATACCAGGAGTAACAAATAAGAATGAAAGTATAGTTTTGTTAATAAATCAGCAATGATAGGGGCGTCTGGGTGGTTCAGTCAAGAATCTGACTTTTGGGGTGCCTGGGTGGCTCAGTCGTTAAGCGTCTGCCTTTGGCTCAGGTCATGATCCCAGGGTCCTGGGATCAAGCCCCACATCAGGCTCCCTGCTCAGCGGGGAGTCTGCTTCTCCCACTCCCTTTGCCCCTCCCCCTGTTTGTGCTCTGACTCTCTCTCTCTCAAATAAATAAATCTTTAAAAAAAAAAAAAAAAAAGACTCTGATTCTTGTTTTCGGCTCAGGTCATGATTTCAGGGTCATGGGATCGAACCCTAGGTCAGGCTCTGTGCTCAGCCAGAGTCTGCTGGAGATTCTCTCTCTCCCACTCCCTTTGCCCCTCCCCACACACTCTCTCTCTCTTTCTCAAATAAATCAATAAATCTTTAAAAAATAAATTAAGTCAGTAATGAGAATAACAACTAAAATTTTTAATCACCTACTATGTAACAGAACTCATTCTAAGCATTTTTATGCGTTAGCTTATTTGATCCTCAAAGCAAATCTATAAAAAAAAAAGTTTCATTTTTATCTTCATTTTTCATAAGAAAAAAATGAGTCCAAGAGAGTCAAAGAGAAGCTGAGTCAAATAGTAAGTGGCAAACCTCAGATTTCAACTCAGGATTTGAATATACAGCCTGTGTTCTTAACATTCCTCTATATTGCCTCCTGTAACAAGATAAGGACCCAATAATTCAACCAGAATTTCATCATAAGAGCTAACATACAGCAAACAGTTTACCCCTTGATGTTCACCCTATGAAACTAAACCTTGTGTCTAGGTAGAAGGTAACACTTATGAAATTGATCTTCCTACTCCCAAGCAAATACCACTATCTTTAAGGTTACCTGTGTTTTGTGCATCTTTGTGAGTTTGTATTCTCTGTGAAAAGTCATGCTCCTATGAGGAAAATTAAATGTCTCTGACTACCCTTCCAACAACTAGACAGTTCTTAATTCAACTAATTGGAATCTACAGGAATCAACATGCTACACGGGAAATAGAAGCAAAAGAGTCAGTTGGGTTTCTCGAATATGCCCTGGCTCAATTACCCCCTCCCCATATTAACAGAGGTAGTGAAAATAAAATAGAGTAAAAGACAAAAAACAGCAAAAACTGGACTGAACCTACCATTCTGCCTAGCTGTATAGAAGAAAACAGAACATAACTGAGTTTTAATACACTGATCTATCATTTTGTAAAATATGACTCTCTCATGGGGGTGGATAGCAGAAATGAAAGCTTACTGGCACACAGAATAATTGAAGTGTTCCTCTCCCCACATATATGGAGATAGTTTTCTTTCTTTTTCAAACAGGTTTCCTCTATATATTTTCTTTTATCCTTATAACAATAGTATAAGAAGTTAGTTATCTCTGAATCCATATAGCACAATTGTGGAAAATATCTCCAAATACTTTAGTTCAAGATATATATGCTTTATTGCATCAATAAGCACACACTCTACCCATAATTCCTGAGACTGGTCTGATATTAACTCATACATGGTCTGTATTTAAATCAACAGATATTTATGAGAACCTGTTTCAATTTAAATACTTGTCATTGATACATTCAAGACAGCTAATGCCAACAAATAAAATAGATAAATCTGAATATGTTTGACCCTTATTTCATATTTAAGGATGTTCTTCCAGATTTGGAGGCTGACTAACTCAATTTGAGTCAGAAGTTTTATTTGTGATTGGAAGCTACCTTTTTTCCATCCTACAGTAAACCAGATTACCATTGAGGAGAACGCCCACTCATTTAACTTTACATTCTTACTCTGAATTGCACCTTCTATGTCCCACACTAGAATCCACCGAATTGAACTGACTTTTAGATTTCCTCCAAATCAATTCTCAGTTAGCATCTTTAGAGCCACATGTGATGCATTCAAAAAGATGCTATCACCCAAGCTAGTGTATTGCTGCTTTTCCTACAACAGCTCTCCAATGCTGTAGCCATACATTTTTTAAAAGATATTAATGACTGTAAATGTGGCCACCCTGCCAACAGATATACAATACTGTGCTCAATTAAGATAACCCAATACTGGAAAAAGCTTTTTTCCCCCCAACACTTAGTTGAATCAGACTTGGACCCATGTTCCAAGTCTGAGAAAGCATCTTATTTTCCTTTATAAGTTAGAGAGCACACAAAACATTTCAGGGATATTTTCCCAATGTTTCCAAAAGAATAACAGAGACAGTTATTTTTGTGTCTACCATAGCACTTAATGTTTCTGGCGAATGGAATATTTATCCAGAGGACAAAACTAAAACCTAAATGACACCCCTGACTCCTCTATCTCCTTCATGACTAACATCCAACTGATTAATTCCCTCTCTGCTATACACATGGTCACACACACACCCCCCTCCATCCTCATTACCACTGCAACTCACTTTCTCATCATCTTGCTCAACCATCGCCAATTTATTGATTACTTCACGTTACTGGACCGAGTAACATGCTTGTTACTGGGTTTATAAAAAATGAAATGGAAGAGCAGATACCAAAGTACAGGTGCAAAAACAGATGCATAATCAAACAACTAAATACATCATGTTAAATATTCTAGAAAGAAGAAAAAAAGCCCGATTTTCCTTGAGAGAGTCTGATGCAGATATATGGTTTTGAAGGAGAGAAAAAGCATGTGCAAGACAGTGAGATGCTAAAGATCAAGGCACATTGATATTCAAATAGCCAAATATCTGTGGAATAGAGGTACATAGTAGTCTCCCTTAAGTGGCTTTCTGCCAGAAGTGTTTTCTCATCTACACCCTTCTTTACATGGCCACCATTTATTTTTCTAAAACATATGTCTGCGCCTGTAGTGCAACTCCTAAAGAAATGTATACAGTCTGATTTCCCATAGCATAAGACATAAACTCTGCCCCCAAGCATTCATAGCCCATGCTTGAAATAGGACAATGGACTTAACCTATTGGCAGTGGTGGCCGTAGGTGGATTTTGACATAATTTTATAATTATGACATAATTTTTGACATAATTTTAACTGTTCTTTTGACATAATTTTTTTCTGGACTACCTGCCTTGTATAATAGTAGTTTTTTTCAGATGCTTTAGATTGACAGAAACATATCATATTCACACACTATTATTAGTTTTATTATTGAAACAAATAGGTTTTTTGTTTTTTAAAGATTTTATTTATTTATTTATTTATTTGACAGAGAGAGACCCAGAGAGGGAACACAAGCAGGGGGAGTGGGAGAAGGAGAAGCAGGCCTCCCATGGATCAGGGAGCCCGATGCGGGGCTCGATCCCAGAACCCCGGGATCATGACCTGAGCCAAAGGCAGACGCCCAACGACTGAGCCACACAGATGCCCCGAAACAAATAGGTTTTATAGGTTATTTTTCTAACATTCAATTCCCACTCCCCATGTTTACTATAAGTATATAATAGAGGGGGGTTATTTTTGTTGTTTTAAACCGAGGGTTGACTAGTTCATTCATAGTTCATTCATTCAACAAATATTGTTTGCTCATCTTCTATGAAAAGCACAGTTTAGTTCTCACAATACAGCGGTAACTCAGGCAAACTATCCCTGGCATTTTTGTCTTGTTTTGTTTTGTTTTACCTTTTGAACCTCTTCACCCATTTCTCTCACCCCACCCCCACCCCCAGCCTCTGGCAACCACCAATCTGTTCCATGTATGAACATGCTTTTGTTTTGTTTTGTTTTTTAAACACAATTATTCTAACATTCCTATGGCAAAATGGTCACATCAAAATATCAAAATACTTTTGTTACTTCAACTAATCATTCTCAGGTGCTTGTTATGAACCAAGCACTTACAGATGCTTAGAATATGTCAGTGAATGAAACAAAGATCCATGCCTTGGGGAGTTTAAATCCTAGTGAAATGAGAAGACAATAAAAATAAACTACTAAGAAAGGAAATTGATAAGTTTTAACATGATTAGCACAATGAAGGAGCTGAAGAGGTAAGAGAACCAAATATGCTGGGTATGGGAAGTGAGCAGTTTGACATTTTTAACATGATTATGAGTATAGAATTCATTGAGAAAATAACATATGAGCAAAAACTTAAAGGAACTGAGGGAGTTAACCATGGAGATATCAGAGGAGGTGTGTTCCTAACAAAAGGAACTACCAGTCCAAATTCTCTAAGGGGAGAAAGGATAGGGCATCTTCAAGGAACAGCAAGAAGACCTGTATGGCTGGAATAGAGGAAGTGAAAGGAAGAGTAGTTTAATGTCAGGACAGAGTATAAGATGAGGGGACCGATTATTTGGAATCCTGGTTAATATTATAAGGATGACAGCTTTACTCTGAATGAAATAGGAAACTATTGCAGGATTTTAGGCAAAATGATATGTTCTGATTTACACCTACATTTTCAAGGTAACACTCTAGCTACTGCCTTAAGAAAAAGGAAAGAAGCAGGGAGAAAAGTTAAGTAGCTACTGGCTACTTAAGTGAAAGATGAGCAAAGTGAAAGATGATGGTGGCTCAGAACAGGATGGCATCACTTTTGATGAGTGAAAATGATGAAAAGTGGTCAGATTCTGGCTTCCACAGTATGGCCGGCGACATAGCTAGTGCTCGCTCTACTCTCTCTAACGGGGAAACAGCGGACTACAAGAGACTGAACTGTATCTGCCTCTATTTCCAACAGACTCACGTTCAACTTTCGCTCACCAAAAAAAAAAAAAAAAAAAGCCGGGAAAATTTTATTAATCCTTTTTTTTAAAAAAAGTTAATATAAAATTATAGCAAAAAAAAGGAACCTGAACTTTAGTAACACAGCTGGAACAATCCGCAGCGGCGGCGGCAGCGGCGGGAGAAGAGATTTAATTTAGTTGATTTTCTGTGGTTGTTGGTTGTTCGCTAGTCTCACGGTGATGGAAGCTGCACATTTTTTCGAAGGGACCGAGAAGCTGCTGGAGGTTTGGTTCTCCAGGCAGCAGCCCGACGCAAACCAAGGATCTGGAGATCTTCGCACCATCCCCAGATCTGAGTGGGGCATACTTCTGAAGGATGTGCAATGTTCAATCATTAAGTGTGACAAAAACTGACAAGCAGGAAGCTTGTTTCATTTTGAAGACATGTGGTACCACCCTCTTGCTGAAAGCACTGGTTCCCCTGTTGAAACTTGCTAGGGATTACAGTGGGTTTGATTCGATTCAAAGCTTCTTTTATTCTCGTAAGAATTTCATGAAGCCTTCTCACCAAGGGTACCCACACCGGAATTTCCAGGAAGAAATAGAGTTTCTTAATGCAATTTTCCCAAATGGAGCAGCATATTGTATGGGACGTATGAATTCTGACTGTTGGTACTTGTATACTTTGGATTTCCCAGAGACTCGGGTAATCAGTCAGCCAGATCAAACCCTGGAAATTCTGATGAGTGAGCTTGACCCAGCAGTTATGGACCAGTTCTACATGAAAGATGGTGTTACTGCAAAGGATGTCACTCGTGAGAGAGGAATCCGTGACCTGATACCAGGTTCTGTCATTGATGCCACACTTTTCAATCCTTGTGGGTATTCAATGAATGGAATGAAATCGGATGGAACTTACTGGACTATTCACATCACTCCAGAACCAGAATTTTCTTATGTTAGCTTTGAAACAAACTTAAGTCAGACCTCCTATGATGACCTGATCAGGAAAGTTGTGGAAGTCTTCAAGCCAGGAAAATTTGTGACCACCCTGTTTGTAAATCAGAGTTCTAAATGTCGCACAGTGCTTTCTCCACCCCAGAAGACTGAAGGCTTTAAACGTCTTGATTGCCAGAGCGCTACGTTCAATGATTACAATTTTGTTTTTACCAGTTTTGCTAAGAAGCAGCAACAACAGCAGAGTTGATTAATAAAAATGAAGAAAAAACACAAAAAGAGAACACGCATAGAAGGAGGTGGTGGCTGCTTTTTAGATATTGATATCGGGGGCCATGCTTTCCATAACCACCACCTTGTAGCTGCAGAAAGCCCTAGATGTAATGATAGTGTAATCATTTTGAACTGTATGCATTATTATATCAAGGAGTTAGATATCTTGCATGAATGCTCTCTTCTGTGTTTAGGTATCCTATGCCACTCTTGCTGTGAAATTGAAGTGCATGTAGAAAAAACCTTTTACTATATGAAACTTTACAACACTTGTGAAAACAATTCAATTTGGTTTACGCACAGTGTAATATTCCTCCAGGTATCATCCAAAATTCCCCACAGACAAGGCTTTCGTCCTCATTAGGTGTTGGCCTCAGCCTAATCATCTGGGACTGTTCTATTAAATTGCTGCCAGGATTTTACAACCAGTTACCTCCACTTTCTAGAACATACTCTCTATTAATATTACTGAAACCAGTTTCTATTTCATACAGATGTTTTTTGCAACAGCAATTAAAGTTTCTCTTCCATGAGTCAAGTCCTCTTAAGAAATGATTGCAGTTATCCATTTTGTGTATCACTATTTTAACATTATTGCTTCCTGTAACTGTACTTCCTTTAATTGATTTTGTTCCTCACCATGGTGTCTTGCCTCCCAACCCCTCCTCAATAAAGCAATACACTGTTTAAAAAAAAAAAAAAAAGTGGTCATATTCTGAATATAGTTTTAAGGTAGAACTAAAAGAATGTCTTAACAGATTGGATGGAGATTATGAAAGAAAGAAAATAATCAAGTATAATTCTTTTTTGTTTGTTTGGGCCTAGAAAAAAAAAAAATGGAGTTGTCATCAAATGTAAGGGAAGACTACAAGTGTAGCTAACTCTGGGTGTTGATTCACACTAAATGTAAGTGATCTAAACACCCTAATGAAAAAAAGGTATTTGTATATTAGATAAGAAAGCAAGACCCAACTACATGGTGATTACAAGAAACCTACTTTAAATACAAAGAAACAAATAGCTTTAAAGTAAATGAATAGAAAAAGAGTTTCCATGCAAACACTAATCAAAAGAAAACAGAGGCAGCTATATTTATATCAGACAAACTAGATTTCAAATCTCAGAATATTACTGGAGATAAACAAGGTCATTTCACAATGATAAATAGGTGAGTACTTCAATAGGGTCTAAAAATCATACATTTTTGTGTCCTAATAATAAAGTCTCAAGATGCATAAAGGAAATACTGATAGAACTGTGAGAAAAAAAATAGACAAATCAACAATTACAGTCAGAGAATTCAATATCCCTCTCATGACTGATAGAACAAGGAGACTCAAGTTCAGTAAAGAAATAATAGATTTGAATAACATTATCAGTCAATTAGGCCTAATTTACATTTAGAAAACATTCTACATGAAACAGCAGAACACATATCCTTCTCAAGTGTACATGGTCTATTTACCATGGTAAGCCATATCCTGAGCCATAGATCAAGTATCAATAAACTTAACAGAATTACATTTATACATATTATGTTCTCTAATCACAATGGAATTAAATTAGAAATAAATAACACAAACATATTTGGAAATTTCCTAATTACTTGGAAACTTGAATAACACAGTTCTAAAGAACCCAAGGGTAAAAGAAGAAATCAAAAGTGAAATTAGAAAGTATTCTGGAATGAATGAAAGCACAACATATCAAAGTTTGTGGGATGCCACTAAAGTAGTACTTAGAGGGAAAGTTATAGCCTTAAATGCCCAAATTAGGAAAAAAAGATCTTAAGTCAGTGACCTTAGCTTTCACCTAAGAATCTAGAAAATGAGGAGCAAAATAAACCTAAAACAAACAAAAGAAAGGAAATAAAAATATCAGAACTTAAATCAATAAAGTAGTAAACAGAAAAACAATGGAGAATATCAATGAAATAAAAACTGATATTGATTCTTTGAGATTAATAAAATTAATAGACCTCTAGTCATACTGACCAGGAAAATAGAAGATACAGGTTACCATTATCTGGAATGAGCAAAGTGACAAACTACAAATTTTACTGTTATTAAGAGCATAATATGAGAATTATTATGGCAATAAACCCAACTACTTAGATTAAATGAAAGTCACTTGGAAGAAAAACTACCAAATCTCAGTCAAGAAGAAATCAGTACTGTGAATAGCCCTTTATCTATTACAGAATTTGCTTTTGAAAGCCTTCCCACAAAGAATAATACTAGATTGAATGGCTTCACTGGTGAATTCTACCAAATATTTAAGAAATAATACCACTTTTATATAAACAGCCCATAAAACTGAAGGACAAGCAATACTTCCCAACTCATTCTATAAGGCCATTATTACACTGATACCAACACAGAGAAAGACAATACCAGAAAAGAAAATGACAAGCCAATATTCCTCACAAAAATAGCTATAAGTCTTACCACAATTTTAGCCAATTAAATCCAACAATATATAAAAAGAGTAATAGTCTAACCAAGTGAGTTTTATCACAGGAATGCAAGACTGATTTAGTAATTCAAAAGTCATCAATGTAATTAATCACAGCAACAAACTAAGATAGAAAAACCATATGATCACCTCAACAGACACAGAAAAAGCATTTGACAAAATATAACATCCATCCTTAATAGAAAGACTCCAAACTAGGAACAGAAGGGAAATTTCTCAACTTCATAAAAGGCATCTATGAAACATCTACAGCTAACAATATATTACAAGATGAGAAATAGCTTGCTTTTTCCCTAAGATCAGTAATGAGACAAGGATATCTGTTCTCATCTCTTCTATTCAACATTATACTTAGAGGTTCTCCAGTGCAGTATGCTAAGAAAATAAAGCGCATCCATACTAAAAATAAATAAATAAACTGTAATTACTCACCAATGACATGATCATCTTCTTGAAAAAAATCCAATGATATCTGCAAAACAAGATACTAAATCTAGTGATTTAGCAATCCAGCACGTGGATTCACTTTTAAGCCATATCAGAAAAGGGGTGAACTTACGACAATTGTGTTGACTCATCTTTGACTAGTTTTGTAGCTTTCATAGGGAAGCCAATTAATATGAAAATAATCACCCTAATGTGTACCCAATCTGCACTTCCATCCCATTTCTCACAGCACCCTACAACGCTGACTTTCATCCTATCCCTAAGTAGTTTAGGGAATGACTCATGGTGCAAATGTTAGAGATGAAGTAAGAGTGTCTTTGTGTACATTATTTGACACTTCTGAAAATAATTTAAAGTAAAACATTCTAGCATTTTAGGCTGCATCAAAATATCGCGTGGTTATCTAACCTTTTACATCTTAATCTCCTACCCCTCTCATTCCCACCTTTCTACCTATCTCCCCTGCCCCATACACACATACCATGCATGAACCACTTACTCATGACTGCTCAAGCTTTTCAAATCCATAATACACTTCCACTGGTCTGTGCATTTGCTTATGCTACCCTCTCAGCCAGGGATCTCACCTGCTGTCCTCTCACCTGCCTGATACACTCTTACTTAGACCATGTTCAAATGTCCCACCTCTCCTGGGAAGCCTTCCCTTGTGGTCCCACATAAGGTGCTCCGTTCTCATTCTTGTGCTGTACTTCATATACACCACTCTATCAGAACATGTAGCAGAATATGTTAACTATTCATGTGCTTGTCTTTCTTGCTAGTGAGTTCTCCAAAGTCAGGAAATATTGAAAAATTATACTGTATTACAAGTACCTCAAGTGCCTTGTTGAGTTAAAGTGAATATAAAGTTCTACTAAATATTTCAAAATAGGCAGTGTTGACCAAAGCTAGATTCATATTAAGCTCATCCAACTTTGCAAAAATGTGATTCATATTTAAAAAATAGCTTATTCACATTTCCAAAAATATTTAAGGAAATAGGATTTATGAATTTTGTAAAGGGAACAATTTATTTTATTTAACAATGATTAGTTGAGTCATCTCAGCAGTATAGCTGGAGTCAGGAAATTCAAACTAGCTTAATAAATATAGTTGGCTTCGATGAAGAATTAAAGGATAAAATTATACTCTTTTATCAAGGTTCAATAATACTATGCATTTAAATAGCATAGATGAAACAAAAGGTTAATTGGCATTTAAACCAAACCCCATTTTAGTAGACTAAATAAGCTTTTAATCAAAAGGTGAAATTCAGCATTAAACACTAAAATAAATGTTACCATCTGAGATCCGAGCTTGTAAAAGTATGATAAATCAGGTTAACTTTATTAGAATACAAACAATTTTGAAGTATATAGGAATACAACTAGTTAAGGCATAGTAACAATCTGGTAAGGCACAGTTTACAACATAATTCAAAATATACTGACCACAGAGTAAAAGCATAAGTCAGATGCAATTTATCTGGATGGATAAATTAATAATACAATATTAGTCCAATCCCGTTCAAGTATGCGGACATCCCAGGAAGTCTTCTCACATTTTAAAACTTGCTTAAAACTGAATTCAAGTGCTGGATCATATGGTAGCTCTATTTTCAACTTTTTGAGGAACCTCCATACTGTTTTCCAGAGTGGCTGCACCAGCTTGCATTCCCACCAA